TTGATGCTTTTCACTTTATAGTGTTGCTGCTTTTTTCGGACGCTGGAAATTTAGAATTATGTGCAATATTTCTTGTGCTGTATATATTTTTGGCTGTGAATTCTCTCCGTTCGACTGTTCTCTTTTTCTTTATATTAAATAACAATGAATTCTGTATTATTTCCACTAAAATATATTTTCTTACTGTACTTGCAGGTAAAAGTAATCTAAATTTCAAACGTATTTTGCTGTTTTGTCTCACTCATGCTAGGTTAGGATTATATTCTCGTATTAGTTGGAAGTAAAAAGGAGTACATATAAATGTTTATTTCACTTGTGAAAAGGATTTATTTTCATTTGGACTGAATTTATAGCGAAGAAAGTTGAAAGTTGAGTTTTCCTCTAAGAATTACGTTTATCAATAATCTGCCTAAACTTACCAGTAATGTGTTGGTCAAATCATATTAAGAGATAAAAGAACAACAGTTTTGATAATTCAAAATATTGTTTAACAAAATCTATCTTAAAGTTAGATTAGCGTGTGTTTGGTTGACGAATTTCATTCTACTACGTTCTCGCTTTTAAGTGTAAGCGGTTGATGTAAAAGTAAATATATCGTATCATGCTGTAATCACATTTTTATTTACAATTGATACATGTTTATAAATGATTACTGATCATCACTTTATCATTTATACTAATTTGTTTTTGATCAGTTAAACATATCTGAAGTGTTATAAAGTGTGAACACAAGAGCAGCTCATCAAGTCACAATGATACATCTCATAGCAACACTCAACGTAAAACATTCGAAATAACCAGATAGCGATCATTAAATAACAGGGAAAAGTCGGTACAGATCAGTGAGGTGTGCTTTATTAATATCTGTGGGACGTTTCCTATTTTGTAGCCATAACTGTATTAAAACTCTGAACGCATAATTCGTCATCTTTGAGTTGTATTTGGTGTAATACATCGTTTATTTGATTAGCCTGTAATTACCAGCTATATAAATATTTTACTTCATTGATGGTATATAGTCGTTAATTTTTTAAACTTTGTTTTACAAATTTAGCGGTTACGTCTCTCACTCAAACAATGGGTAACATAAGAAAGCATTGTACAATCCGTATAATATCTGAATTCAGAATTTATTTCCCATCGTCTTAGACTACCTAAAATCAAGATACAGTGCACCATAATGTCGATCATTTAAACTAATAATTGGTCATATTGCAGCTTGATCGATGGAATTCGTTCAACCCTAAAACCTAACATTATGTTAAACAATACTCAGTTGACCAATCAATAAATCATCTTTTTGAGCGTCTAACTTCACATCTTTTTAAACACTAATTAATTATTAGTTCTCACAGTCTGCATTAGTGAAGCAATTAATGGTTTATTTCTATTAAGAATCGTTTGGTTGAGAATTATGAATAATGTTAGGTGATTGGTAGTAGTTGTCAAGAAATCCTGAACTTAAGTTGCGTACTGGTCGGTACCCGTCGGTAAAAGTTAGCCGCAATCTTGACGGAACGTACACTTCCTATGGGATTGGAACCTTCATGAAATAACTTGAGTCTAAATAAAATGTTGCTATATAATCAATAGGATCCAATCTCCACCAAAGAACACTCAGTATTTGATGAACAGTGACTTGTAGGTTTCAGTAATCCTTAACATTTTGGCGTTCAAAAACTTTGAATGTTTATAAATTCTTAATATGTCCACAAAGAGGCAGTTGCTAAAGAGCTCGTAAAAACTAGTTCCAAAATGATTCTAGTTTGTTTTTCACTATTATTAACAATTTAATTAATTGATTAAATCTTAATGCTGTAGAAAACCCAGACATTACAGTTCTAGTTCATATTATCAACTTTTTTCGTAATGAAAACGATTGAAGTTACGTCAGCCTTGATGATCAACACAATCTTTAAGGAAATGCGATCACTTCTTCAAAGTAGTAACTATAACCTGAGAGGTATGTAGTGTTTTAGGGAAAAAACACACCATTTGCTTCCTATCTACTGATCTTATAATACCAATTGTTATTACCATTATTAGTGTTAATAGTGGTAGTAGTGTAGTAGTTAAAATATTTGTTTTTTAGCCATTAAGTCGTAAGTTCGAACCGCATCATATCTGTTTGTTAGTCGGTTCGTTTGTATCAATAGATCTCAACACCTTGTTTATATTTAAGAATTTCATTATAACAATTGCTATTTATTGATTTGGGACTTTCTTGTCTAGTTGAACTCATTGCATATATGTCCATTCATAGATTGGTTTGAATACTTATTTGAGATTGAGGCTTCAGAGGGACGTATTGGGATTGATACACATTTTCAAATGATTGTATAAACTCTAAAAATCAGATATGCAAAGTTAACGACGTAATAATTATCGTTAAAAAAAGCTCAAAGCAATTTCTTGACTATTTCATCTAGTTATTACTGTTTATTTCGACTCAAACAGTCCTATGTGTTGCATTGTCTTGTTCTCGTCTATGCTTTTCCTTAAATTATCCCGGGTTTAAGTGAGTGATTGAAAGAATAAGTGTTAGGAGTGTAGGGAAGACTACTTTAATGTGTATTACGTCAACTACCTTTCAAGTTTATCATTATTTCATCTCTTATTTTTTACTGGAGTAATTTTTTATAATATGTTCGATTCATTTTATCTATCGCCTTAATACAACCCTCTTGTTATCTATCTTTTGTATACTATCGATGATGGTTCTTACGCTGAATTGTCAGTAATTCGGTTAGTCAGTGTTAGAGTTGTCGCTTTCTACTTCATTTTATTAGAAAAATCTCGATAACGAATATGTAAACAAAATTCCTTATGTGCTGAGGTTGTCGTGAATTGGGATTGCGCATGATTAAGAGATTCTTCTAATATGGAACGAAATCTATGCTAAATGGATAGGTTCAGTGACTAATACACAACTCTTTAATAGTTATTCCCTGCAGGATGGAATAGTGAGAAGAGAAGGCTTGTAAAATGGAAGATGTATTGGTTAACATCACAGAGAAATCAATTTTTTATGTTATAAACTGACAGATTTATGTACAAAATAAACTTCATAGGCGACCGGAAGAAGTTAGCCTGTAGATCAATCACTCTCCAATCAGTTAAGACACCTAACTTATTCTTAGGCCTAGTTCTTTTCCATTGTATCAGAGATGCACCTAATTCTGATAGAAATAACCATTATTACTCATTTGTAAAGATTTAGCTGTATAATAAAATGAGTTTGGATGGTGAATCTCATTGCACTGACGTGCTCTAGCAATTCAGGCTAATATATATATGTTCCATTATTCTATGTTGCTCATAACTGTCTGAAAGAATCCTCAAACTATTAAAATATAGCTGCACATTTTTGTTGTTTTTATGTGTTATGTTGCAGTACATTGTTTTTAAGAAAAATCAATATTTTCGTGCATATCCAGTACATCTTAGGAATTCATATAATAAACAGTGTGTGTTGTTTAGCAATCAAGTTCCAAAACTATAATAGGTAAGTCTAGTTCTAAATCTTCAGTGTGAATTAACAAAATATCGGCGAGACTATAACCTATAGACGACCTTTGTGTGAAACTGAGGTGGTATTGAGAAACTTCAACCGTTTGCTGGTGTTAAAACAGAGTTATAAATTAGTGTGAGGAATTGCGGTTAGGTATTAGAGTTGAAAGTTGGGGTCAGGAGATTAGAGTTAACTTTCTCTTCACTAACTTACATCGGCCATAATATCAAAATGCTATTGAACAATATGTATGAATACATTTTTGCACCGAAATCCGTAAGGCGCTATATTACATCAGATTGGTTCTTTCATAAATTGTAGTCACTCCGAATATATCATATTGAGTGATTTTTTCAATATACTAATTAGGCAGCTAAATACATTTCTATTAGTATAGGGTTAAGGAGATTGTTGAGTTTTTGTTGTGATCATAAACCGATCAATATGAGATCATCATTGAAAACCTGGCAGTACCGGACGACCATTTCGTCCTAGTATGGGACTCCTCAGAAGTACGCGTCGACGATCCCGCATGCGAGACCTGGTCCCAGGACCCTCATTCTCGTGTGAATGCTTGACTTTTAGACCACCGAGTCGGCATCCAACTTCAATCAATCCACGTTACAGCACGACTATCTTCGATTGTCTTCGATGGGTAATTACCTGACACTCGACACGGTCTTCAATGGTGATCTAGCATTGATCGGTCCATGGTTTCAATGAAAACTACATTTTTACCAATTACACCGCTTTTGGTACTGAAGTTAGAATACAAGCAATTCGTCAACAGACCACCCGCAGCTCTTCTATTTATTGAACTAATTGAACAGTTAGTTAGTCACCAGCATTCAAGTGACATATAAGCGATATGAAACTACTCTTGTTCGGTTGTAGCAGTAGTAGCAGTCCAATATATGTACTTAGCAGCCTATTGTTTACACAGGTTAGCAATTGTCAAGTTTCCAAGTGCGTTGTATGTATGTGTATGCATACGAAAACAAGTCCTTTTTTTCTCACCAGGCATCGATTTTTATTAAAACACACAATTTTGACTACAGTTTAATTTAACAGAATATATATACCGTTATTTATGGTTTTTCATCTATTTCACACTAACTTAGACGAAAAATATCTTAATCTGAACGCGATACCATTACATTAGTATTTATGGAGTGCGTTCCTATGGTGTTTTATTTAATTGGTTTACCTATAGATTTTTTCCTATCGTTTGGTTGGTAAATCAATTCATTCATTGGGGTAAAAAATGTGATGATAAATGGATAGATTCTAATATACTGTATGCATGCATTAGTTATCCGAGCTTTTTATGTGACCCTGTGATCGACCTATCGTGTGTGTAAGCATTGCCTCCTCTGTGGCCATAACACTATTGTGTGTGTGTATTTACATATGTATATTTATATATGTCTGGGTTTTTGTCAGTCATGCAGTCAATCAGTAGTAGTGGTTCACTAAAACTGTGCCTTTCACATTCTTTGGATGCGTTTGTATTGCATGTCTTACTTCTGGATCGATTACATTCGATTTTTATTTTTACATTCACATTTTATTTTATTCAACAAAACGTGGAGGTGTATCGTTATTTATTGTCGTGTATAGTTTACTGTTACATGAAAATATTCTGTGATTCAAATATGTTCTTTGACGGAATAGTTTTTATAATCAATATCAGATTACCATTACTAACTGGACCTTTAAAATCAAGTTGGGATATTCAATTACTGTTTCCGTAGACATTCAGATGATTTATATTCAATATAAAATCTAGTGTATATTGGATACTGTTTAATCAGACGTTTTTATGCGGATTTCATATTTACATTTCATTTGAACCATTATCATGCCCGTTCTTGTCGGAACACCCAGTTTGGTCCTTATTTCACGTGTTCAGGTTTATCAGACCTGTTCTGTTGATCTGGCATGGCAACGTGCAGTTCATGCTTGTCAGCGTTGTCCTAAAGCCACGTTAACCACAAATGCTGTCACACCTTTAATAAGTCCGTCTGGTGGCGAGCGTGCAACCTCTAGGTTTTGTCCTGCAGGTGTGCACATGAGTCATTGTGTTCCAGCATCAGAGATATTTGGTGCTACTAGTAAGTCTATTCCTACTGGCGCTCATTCTGTTCTGGCCAATAATGATACTCACGGAGCAGTATCTCCTGCTCATTTGTCTTGGGGACCACCAGATTTACCACTTCCTGCAGCTAGCCCTAATCACCCTGTACATGCCGCTCATATCGCTAGATCTTCATATCCTCCTGCTTCATCTCCAACTTCTTCAACCTCATCTACTCCAGTCAAGACAACCACATCTACAACTGTTCATCATTTTCACCCTGTACAACGTTCAAAACCACTAGATTCTAAATTCGGACTGGTTGAAAAGATTAGTAGTACGGCATCTGCAACTATTACTCCGACTTCAACCTCTTCTCCGTCTTTAGCTACTACTGATATAACACCATCAGTCCCACCAGATGGGAATATTGTCGAAAATCGACTACCGTCAATTGAGATTAGTGAAAAAGACATTGATTTAGCAAAATCTGATAACAATGAATCCGATAAGCCTCATTTTAATTTGTCTATTCAAGAGACATTAACAGATAAATCTCATGATGATATAACTGTTTGTGAGAATAATTTATCATCATCGCATACGGATTCCTTACGAACTGAATATAATAGTGAAGTAAGCAAATATTTATAACTAGTTTTGTGTTGTTTCACTCCTTTTTTGGTTATACTAAGTTCTAAATGTATCGAAATAGTTTCATTTTATTTTAGTGGTATTATTCCTTGTCTTATTTTCTTCTCTTTTTATGTTTCATTTATCGGTTACAGTATTTCCCTCCTATTGACTAGTTAAAACACATTGATTTCATCAAAATGTTGGATTTGGATAGATTATGCAAAGGTGGTAACCGAGTTTGTTAATTTACGTTTAATATGATATACGCTTTGTATAGTACTCTGTTCAACTGTTTACCACGGTTAGTGACCGTTGAAAGTAAATGACGTGAGTAAAATGAAGGTTTTTGATCACAGATGTCTTTGCGGCATTGCTTGCGTCTCATGGAATGACCCAGTGAGCAATGTTGAGGTTAAGCATTGGGTACTTGCGAAAAGCGACAAGTCGGTTGGTGAGGTATTGGATATTCATCGACTGAAGTAGTAAGAACATTTGCGACATTTGCCTAAACATCACTTACCTCGACGAGAGATGTTTGCTAGCGTAGGTTGTGAGGTAGCTAGGGCCAGCCAAACCAAAACATAGGATTATTCCATGAAGTCACTAACTTGGTGTGAACCATACTGGCAGATATGGACTACCTGTTGTGAGCCCATTCTATGACCGCGACCAGTGTTTGGAGAATCTGACATGGATCCGAATCGGTCACAAACGCACAGATGCATTCTTTTTTTATCTTTCTCTAGATCTTGAGTTTTAGTATTTCTTCATACTCATACCTCTTCATTCCCATCATATTCTTAATGTTCAGTCTTTCACATCATCACTGCTACTACGATCTCTTTTGTGTTTTGCATCTGGTCGTACTTATCTAGTGTGGTAACTTAGCATAAATCACATCTGTGCTACGCTCTGTCTTGATTTCTGTCAGTCTGTCTTGTAAGATGGCCAGTGTGTAATAAAATCTTTAAAAGTAGCGGTGATTGTCATGTTTTTGAAGGTGTCATTTGTTAATTCAATTTTTGTGAAATACTTTCTTGATTAAATATTCCAAACTCAATAACTTTAAACTTTTACTGATGTAATATTTTTAGACTGGTTTCAGTTGCTCTAATTAAATGGTACATTATTGAGCCTATGCTTCTACAATTGTTTTCCTGATCATTATTATCTTTTAATTTCTCTGCTACTGTTAATATAATTAGTTGGTTAGTTTTCAGTACTTCTTTTTGTGGATTCCATTCATGTTGTTTGTGAAGTATGAGGATGACTTGGATGAATGGAAACAAATTTTTTTTTCAATGGTATCTTAAGCAAACTGTATAATTTGCTTGTTATGAAACCTAATAACATTGTTAGTTTGTGAGAAAAAACATAAATAAACTGGGTTCAGGTATAATAATTTGATCGGAAAAATCAAGTTATCTCATTTAAACTAATTTGTAAACGGCTCACATGTATCTTACCATGTTTTGATATAGCGAGGATTTGATTATATTTTCACAGAATTATAGCATAATCGGGAAGGTTTTACTAATGAAAGATTTAGTAGACTTCATGTGTACAAACTGAATAGGATAGATTCAAGCGTTGGTAATCGCCATAATTTACTATCGGTATAAACTTTCAAAGAACGAATAAATGTAGTTTGTGTTTAGTTCCAAGCTTTTCTGTCGTTTCATCTTTTTTTCTCTTTATTAACTGATGAGTTAAATTTTTAGTCTTTACCTTGCCTGATAATCTTTTGACTGATTTTTCTTCCTCAAAATAAAGTTGCTGATTGTGTGACTATGTCATATTGCATATGAACGTTCGGAGGCACAAAATTGACGAGTAGAACTAGCCACTAATCTTCATAAAAAATATTAACCATAACCGAATTATTTAGGCAGAAGCTTAAGTGTTATCATATGGATATTTAAAAAATTCATTTGAACGTTTCCTGGTCATCTGGATTAATTAAAATCTTCTGACCAACATTTTGTCTTGTTTTTAGTGTTCAATATCTAGGGTAATCTACAGAAAGTGTCGACAAAATGAAAACTTATAGCCTTTTACTTATCTACGAACAAATTGTTCGGTTGACTTCAAAGGATTTATATGATGATAACTTTAACGAAAGAAACATTTTTTATTCATATAAAGTAATTATACTGTTTACGGCGATAGTAAATCTTGATCAAATAGAAACGCTTATACTTGGCTTAGAGAATTCGATTTTGAAATCCGTAAAATAAATATAACAAGTTTTTTTTTGTTGAATTATTGTTTATGTGTTCTAAACAGATATTTTTGTACGTTTATTTACTGCACTTTATTTTTGACATTTAGAACTGTTTATTTTCTAGTTTACACATTATATATTTCAAAATACTAAAAAATCCACCAAGTTAGTTATACATTTTACGTGTTCGATGTCTGGCTACTACTGTATAGGTGATATATGTAGGTGAATTTCTTGTATTTTTAAAAATTTTTTTTATACAAATATCTTATTTCTTCTGTGATGTGTCATTTCGAAAAATAGAGTTCAAACCTTCATGTATGTTGATATCGTAGTTTGAACTGTTATCTCCATTAGAGCAGCTTAAGTAATCAGATGGCTTGTACGACTTGAGAGTAAGCTTGAATTAATGTTTCGGTCGTGTTATTATCAACTAAGATATTTAGCTGTAATATAGCAGTTTTGTTTTAGTGACTGTAAATACAAGGTTTTAAAAAGCTTTTAGGAATCGTTGCGACTCTAGTCTGGTCATAGGAAGTCGAACGTACGGCTTTACAACGCAAGCGGTTTTTTCTGGTTTTATGAAACCTGGTCTCTCCCTAAGCTAAATTATATTCGTAGGTGCCCTGTCTTATTCCACTACTCTTCCATTGTTAAAGTTATTTTATGTGAACTAATTAATAATAATAATAATAATAATAACAATAATGGTAATGATAATCTTTTAATCAATTTGAAGTTGCTATGTCATAGTTGTAGCACGCATTCATTTCAGAAATATTATGTGATTGTCAACACACATATATGCACGAATGCACAGAAAAAATATACATAAAACGCAGCTGGATATTGTCAGTAAATTCCTTTCTACTCATTAACCTTACATTTATCGATTGGTTTTCTGTGTAGTAGTAAGATAGAGTGGATGACTGACTACTACTACTACCTCACTTCATGTTTTAAATATTTTCTTTAATCTACTATATGTAATTTCACTAATTTACAAAAGTGAGTTTTTTTCTTGCGTTTTGTCTTCACTTAATTTTATGTTTACCATACAAGCGATAGAAGTTGACGATACTGTTATTCCTTAACCGACAGAAATTCTATATAAACCTTTGTCTTTTGCGTGTTAGTACTCTTTGATAGGGCATGTTTTCGTGACTTAACAAATGCATAGTTCTTCAATCAGCAGCGAAATGATGCGAGGCCTCTACCGCATCTAATGATTTATGAGCGCTTAGTGGCCCGGGATGTGACTCTAATTAGATCGTATGAATGTTCGTTGTTGAATGAATGCTGTCGAAATATTTGTCTCCTATCTCCTCGTATATTTCATACAATCTTTGATCCAGACAAAATATCGGAGAAGCGAAGAGAAGAGAGCAAGGCAAGATAACGCGCAGTGGAGAAGGCTCGTGAGCCAACTCCATTTAGTCAAGCATTAATCAATATTTATAGTCACACAAAATTAAGCTACAGACATGTGATGGATGGGATAAGAAGTGTACACATACATGCTCGTATAACAATAGTGAAGATTGATAAGCGAATAATTAACAAGGTCAAAATGCGACTCAAGTAGAATGAATAGATTGGCCTGTCCAGAAGCTAGAATACGGTATATGGGCTTAACATAATGACCGAAACTACAAACGTTACCCCTTTGGTTACATAGTGGTTACTGAAGTCTCGAATAGGGACAACTATGACTTGCCTCAATTTTACAAATGCACTCCTTATATAGAGCAGAAGCGATACTAGAACTTTAACATAAGGAGCAGGATTCCACCGATTTTCACCCTTGAGTTGCGGAATTCAGTCCTTGATGGTAGGTGTATATTTTGAATCTACTACTTAGTTGCTAAAATTTTAGTGTCTTAAACACTGATTCATCTAGGGTGGTGAACAGTATCTTTCTGGGCTCACCAAACATCTTGGCTGCTTAATCGAAGTTATGTAAACCAAATGAGGTTTGTGGTAGTAGTTCATGGTTGTGTGTTCATCTTTTCTATTCCTCTAAATCTTGAATTGCGCTTGTTCTTTATGATGCTTTTTTACTATTTTCGACAGGGTAATACTGTCAACACTATGACTTTATTGATTTAGGTTTGTGAAGATTGTTGAATTCCAAAGTTTATATCACGGACTGCGGTTAGATAACCTTTGAAAATCAAGAATTACTGGACAGTTATTTCCTCTTAGTATAGTAGTAATAGTAGCTTAATCCAATTTTCTTCCTCTTAATTTTTTATTTCTGTGTGGGGACGGTAAGCATAGGTTACTTTAAGATGTTATACATTTATGTCAGTTTTTACGTTATTAATTCAGTTTATGGAATTAGTCCATTTAATATTATACACTTGTTTTGTTTTGCGAAACTAAACACTTTTTCATAAAACACAATTTTCATCTCGTCTAATGTTGAATAACATGTTATTATGTTCTTTTTACTTAAAATTCAACGATCAGTGTATTTGACTTTCGTTTACTTCCCCTTTTTCAAATTCATTATTCGCTTTAAGCGATGTTAATAAATTACACGTTCTCATACTTTTATTCTTAAAAAGAGAGTGATTTTACTATTTTCTGAAATAAACGCTTATGACTAGTATCTCTAAAAAAAACTGTAGCTTTAATAAATTAATTAGAGAATAAAATGTCATATTAGTCTGATTGTTTTTCAGCTTTGACATTATTGATTGGGAACTTGATAGTTTGTTTTGTTAAGATTGTAGTAATTTCGATGGAATGTTGCTCCCTTTTAAACTATTGAATACGCGGACCTGTGTATGCTTTGATTCAGTGTTTCACTTCCTAAGTTTACATTGTAAAAGTGTTGAAAATCATTTTATCTGTGAGAAATTTTCATAACCTGCCAGTTCTTTTCAGACACTAGTTAATTTTATTCTACTGTTTTATTTTCTAGAGCTCTGTTGAACAACCACATACCGCAAATGATATAACGCATGAAAACAAATCCAAACAAGAGAATGGAGTAATAACTATTTGTCCAAAAGTTACACCAAACTCTGAAAATCAACTAAGTGTAGATAATGGAACAAAACATTCATCCCAGACTAATAATACCACTGCTACGAATAAACTTTTAAATCATGATCCAGACACTGATGATATAAGCAAAATTAGAACAAATAAAACAACTCCATTACGAATAAATGATGGGATTGGATCAAAACAACACACTCCTGCCGTTGCTTCAACACCATCAGCATATAATATTCCTGCTGAAAGTAACAAGCCAGATGTTGATGTAGTCGCACATCAACAATCTCATGATAATTATCATGAAGTTAATAAACACTATCGTATTCATTCCTCACAATCGAAAAGTCTTTTTAATTCTGACGGTGTTCACGAAGATGTCACATCTTTAATAAGTAAGGCAAATGTACCTAATCATACAGATTATACTTATCCATCGTCTATGGATTCTACTTCATGTGTGCAAAACAAAGGATTTGCTATTCCTTCTTCTCCAACTCGAATACATAAAGCATTGCCAGCATTTCATTTCCCACTTGGGACTACTCGAATGTCTAATGAGGAAATTAACACAGAATTAGAACGTGTTAAACAAGAACTTAACCAATTTATTGATTCATCACTAAATTCTGGGAAATATTCTGATCCGTTAATTTCTCATTCATGTTTTGGACAAGTTGCAAAGGTACGAATGGCTTTTTAAAAACAAAGTTTCGATTTCATGTATAAATATATTTTTCTCTTTTCTTTTTTATTACTAATTTTACACATTGAGTTTTCTGTAGAATCCTGATTAGCTAATATCACTTTTAAGATTTAGATGGTGGTTGGAGGTAGTCAACAGGAAACCCTGGACCCGGGTTTCGTGCTACCTGGCACTCGTCAGCAAGGTGTACCTGTAATCTTGAGGGAACTGGTGCTCCCTGGCGGATTCGATCTCGTGTCACCCAGCTTCACAATCAGAGACGTTACCACTGAGCTATCCGAGCCGTGACTAACCTCCTGTAGGACTGAGATGTAATCGCAATTGATTGATCACTGGGTGGTGATCAATGTCATGCTTGTCTAGTCCTTATTAGTGCAGATCGAATGCTATCGATCATGTTGCAATGTGGCTAACAGTCTAGGTGACTCGACACTGCGGGCACTATGTATTGAGATTTAGATGGTGGTTGGAGGTAGTCAACAGGAAACCCTGGACCCGGGTTTCGTGCTACCTTTTAATTAATTAATTAATTAATTTGTTTATTGGCTTCCTGTTCAAAAGCTTTTTGTTATCGTCTAAAGAATTGTTATTTTAGTTGAAACTCAACTTTTACGACAGTGATTGATAGTCTGTTTTTTCACGGTTTCCACCACGGACTGATCTTAATTAGTCAAGGATTGTAAAGCAGGAAGCACTGCACAGTTGCTTTGTCCTAGTATAAGACTCATTATTTGTATGCATGCATACTCTCCGTGATTGGTCTGGGGTTTAATCCCATATTTTAACAGGCCGTGGATGCGCAATACTACGTAGTCTTATGATAGGACAAAACTGCTCTCCAGTGTTTCCTAGTTTATAACGGTTGTTGTATTAAAATCAGTCCGTAATGTAAACTATTAAAATTCAGTAATTTTCACAAACCCTCATCTCCCTGCTTCTGGTTCAGTTTAGTAAACCTTCTCCATATTCCTCAGTTCATGCTTTTTTATATAGAGAAGAGAAATAGACTTGAATAGCATTATTTTATTTATTTAATGTTATTCATTCGACTTTGAATACTGATTGAAAACATTCATTGCTTTATCGTCTAATAATTGTAATATTGACAGTTAACTTAATCGTCACTCACTGGGCAAGTGTAGAACCATTGTGGTATTATATATTCTATTTTACCATGTAACTATAAAGCCTATTATTTGATAGTGAATAAAACAACTGAAAACACAATAATTAACGTCTTATTTTAAATTATTACTGTCATGACTGACTGATGGTATTCTTTCTCTGGTGTTGTTATAGTTTATCATCGCCTAGTTTGACTGTAGAGAGTTTAGTGACGGATTATGTTGACCACTTTGCGTATATTAAAAATCGCATCGTCTTTATTTAGTTGTTCACCTATGAAATTCCGACATAGATCTTGAGAGCAGGTAAGATATCCATCTGAATATCGAAAGGTAGGTATGCTGCATAGCACTCCTCTCTTAGAAATATAATTAATAAAAACTGATGAGATTGACAGATTTCACGTTTTTAGTCATAGCTGTCTTCAAATTATTATTATTATTATTGTTATTATTTAAACACATAAATATTAGTACGAAGGGGCACCGAATAGATATGTGCTACACAAGTCTCTTGATTTGTTTGTGCGCTGTAATACTCCCCGGGGAACCAAATCGAAGCAGGTGGTTTTCTCAAGGGGCCACACCCCTAGCCTTTGATCTAGAGGTCTAATCCACAAGGCAGTGGAGCAATGTAAGGAGATGCAGTCTCATGATAGCCGGTGACCAACGATTGGTTAATACACCAATTGTTCCCTCAGGATTCTTGAGCCCATGTGCACCATTGGTTTAAAATCAGGTTTTTCCAACTCCCCTAGGTGGACTCTCCGTATCTGCCAACCCGGTTGAAGCACCGGACATTCGCTTTTCGTCCTCTCGATTTCGTAAACAACACCGCCACGAGAAGGCAGTGAGTAGGACTTCCCTGACAGTGGTTGTATGCACGTGGTCATATGACAACATTTCGACAGAGAGAGGGTTGACTCTCTCCACTCTCGGGCGTACCAGGGTATTTGGGGGCTTATTATAAAACTATTTTAAGAAACGTTGAGGCTAAAAGTAGAACACCAGGAAAATACAATCAATCGGTTGATGAAACTGAATCTTTATCGCTCGTGGTTGGTGGGATATGTTTTGTGTATATGTGTGTGGAATGCGCTTCTCTCCCTCTAAATGCAAGCTGCTGCTTCAGGACTGGTCTGCGTCAACACCTGAACTAAGGATAGGGATTGAAGTAGTCGAGCGCGTTGACAACTTCACTTATCTTGGAAGTCTGGTCATCCCTATTTTATTTATTTTATTTTATTTGAACACATATATATTGGTACAGGAGTGCGCCAAATATATATGCGCCACACAATTTCAGTTCATTAATTGCGTGTGGGCTGCGATACTGCCCGGGTGCTCAGACCGAAGCAGGTGGTTATCTTAGGGGGCCACACCCCGAGCCTTTGACCTAAAGGTCTAACCCACAAGGCAGTGGAGCATCGTAAGGAGATGCAGTCCCATGGTAGCCGGTGACCGAAAATCGGTTCATACGCCATTTGTTCCCGCAGGATACTGGTACCCATGTGCACCATAGATTTGGAATCCGATTAAAGCGCCGGACATTCGCTTTTCATCCTCTCATTTTCGTAAACAACACCCCCGCCACGAGAAGGCAGTGAGTAGGACTTCCCTGGCAGAGGCTGTATACGTGTGGCCGTGTGAGAGTATTTCGAGAGGGAGGGCGAACCCACCCCGCTCTCGGCCATACCAGGGCGTTTGGGGGCTAAAGCCGGCGACACCCGGTATTCCCAGCCGGTCACCCATGCAAGTACTGACCGGGCCCAACGTTGCTTAACTGCGGTGATCGGACGAGAACCGGTGCTTCCAACGTGGTATGGTCATCCCTAATGGGTTGGTGTCTGACGAAATCTCAGCACGGATTCGAAAAGCTCGCTTGGCTTTTGCCAACTTGCGTCACCTTTGGCGAAGGCGAGATATCCGTCTATCAATAAAAGGACGAGTATATTGCGCGGCAGTTCGTTCTGTTCTACTTAACGGCTGCGAAACGTAGGCATTAAGAGTAGAAGATACTCGTGAATTACTAGCATTCGATCACAGATGTCTTAGAAATATGACTTGCATCTGCTGGGATCACCGATTAAGCGATAGTAAGGTTAGACGCAGGGTATTAGGTAATGATGGTAAATCAGTTGATGAGGTTGTGAATCTTCATCGACTGAGATGGTTGGGTCACGTGTTACGTATGCGTGAACACCGATTACCACGACGTGCGATGCTAACCGGTACTGGAGATGGTTGGAAGAAAGTTAGGGGCGGTCAAACCAAAACGTGGCATCAGTGCTTGAGGTCACTAACTTGTAGTCTGAGCCATGATGGTAGATGCAGACTACTTGGTTGGGGTCCGCGTGACTATCGTAACCAATGGTTGGAGACTTGGTGACATGGCTCAGAATCGATCACAATAGCGTCGGTGTATACACTATCTTCCCTTAAACTAAGAGATTAAAATCGCTTCATATCTTTCTTTCTACGAACTGATTCTTTCTTCCTGTACTATATCCTTATTGCGATCTTTCTTTTATATATTACCGCCTCTGAATTAACTACTTTTATAAATCCGGTGTCCATCTTGTTGTGTTAATGAGGTATGGCAACTTGGACCGATGCATATATGTGCCTGGTCCTACGTTGTAGCTGATTGACTGACTGATACACCATCTACCTTAACATAGGAAAACGTTCTGCATTAGAATCGGTTGGGGGGGGCAAATGAGACATTGCATCAATTCATGAAATAATCATTTGTTGCGTCGGAGCATGTCAGTAAATGTAGACTAGCTGATGTGGATAGACATCTAAAGTCATGCCAACTCCCTGGCATATGTCATTTTATCAGGTACAAACCATCCCCTTCATTCTTATTTTTCTCCTTGTATATCTTCTGGTAGAACGAGACGTAATTACATTAAAATCCATGTACGCAAGCAAAAGTATAAAAGTTCTATAATACCTTACCTAGCGAATATACTCTGTGACGAACAGGTTGCTAGAGTTAACCTAATCAATGACCTGCATCCTTAACATGTCTCTAATTTGGAAAGTTGTACAGCTTTTCAGATATTTTTAAACATTTTTTCCTTTCTTTTTTGTCTGTTTTTTTGTAAAAGAAACTTGTTGAAATACCCTGCGCTGAGAATTCTATATTGTACCAATATATAATATTGAATAAAGCCATTAATAATAATAATAATCATGATCAATGGGTAGGCATAAACATGTACTTAGTAAACTAGTTACATTGTTATTATACTTTGTCAGCAAGAAAATTAACCGCTCTTGTACAATTTATATTTTTCTTTTACAAGGGAATACAATATAATGTCAAGTGTTAATCAGTAATCAAGCGCTTCTATATCTGTTTATATATTTGAATTCTATAATTCTTATTTGGTCTCATCTATCATCACAAACATCCATATTTTGTTCCTGATATTTTTAGGTACTTAATTGTCCACTTTATTGGAAACATGCAATTTATATGAATGCTGGTGGTACATCAGATCGACAACCAGTCACCTTGTCAAACTTATTGAAATCATGGTCTCAGTAAGTCAAAGGATTTTTTATTTGGAGGACAAAAAACGACATTTTCCTTAATCTTATTCACATATTTTTTTGTTTTTTGAGAGATAAGAAATTATTACTTGTTACATATTAAAAAAACATTGCATTCTTGAAATCAATACTCTGTTGACAATAAACACATTCACAAACAACATACGCAATTGAACACACTCATTTACATTAAATTTCTTGGTTTGTTTACAGCAATTTATCTTGATTTTATAAATGTTTCTATGTTATTATTACTGTAACCTACGTCATGTACACGTGTTTGAGATAGTTTATTTACAGTGTCATTTATACTTTTCAATACGTGTTGACGTAGTTAAATACTAGTATAGAGTAAAGGATTGTAGAGGTTGTAGGGTTTTCATAGTTTATATCACGAAATAATCTTAGCTAGACTACCGAAGTTTCTGGGTTTAATTCCCGATGGGTCATGAATGTGTACAGCTGAAGGGTCCTCCTTTGAGACGAAATAACTGTTCAATGGTTTCTGGTTTTTGATGGTAATCTGATTAAGAATAGTGGATAGTCGCGATTGAAACTTTTTTATCAACTTATTTTAAAAGAACATAGTTAATTTGGGTAGTAGTGTTGTTCAGTTGGCTCTTTATTTCAATATAATGAGACCATCAGTCTGGTTTTAGGGGGAAACTAATCGACTTTGTGCCGTATGCGAACGTTGAGGATGAGTCTGTTCTTACCGTCACCGTCGAAAATTTTTGTTTAAACAATTCCTATTTTGTTACATGTGTATTATAATTTCAAATTGAATTTTTCACAACGAATTTCCTTAAACCGTGGCTAGCGTTTTAGTATTTTGCTATTTCACCTTATATTGAAAATGTGTTTATATGTAGTGGTTGCTAGCCTAGTTAATCGTTTATGATGCAACTTATGAGCCAGAAACTCAATATTTGACTTTACGATTAGCTGGAACTATGTAAAAACAATCAATCAATATTCAATTTTCAAGTTAGTCCCTCTTATTATCAAGTTGTATCAGAGATTGATCATTTAGTTAAGGAGAAATCAATACTTGTCAATCATGTTTGTTAAATAATATAATTATATCACGGGTTTAAGCAGCAGTCTCTGCATCAGTAGGCCTCAAAATATACAAGGGGAAAACCAAGGTCCTCAAATTCAAAACGGAGAACAGCAATCCAATCACTCTTGATGGCGAAACTCTGAAAGATGTAGAATCCTTCACATACCTGGGAAGCATCATCGATGAACAAGAAGGTTCAGATGCAGACGAGAAGGCGAGGATTGGCAAAGCAAGCGCCGCATTCCTTCAACTGAAGAACATATGAAACTCAAAACAGCTGTCAACCAGTACCAAAGTCAGAATCTTTAATACAAACGTCATGACAGTTAGTTCTATTGTATGGAGCTGGAACTTGGAGAACTACAACCACCACCATCAAGAAGGTACAAGTATTTATAAATGGTTGTCTACGCAAGATACTCAGCATCCATCGACCAAATACCATCAGCAATAGCCTTCTGTGGGAGAGAACAAACCAGCTTCCAGCTGAAGAGGAAATTAGGAAAAGACGATGGAAATGGATAGGACATACATTACGCAAATAATCAAACTACATCACGAGGCAAGCCCTAACTTGGAATCCTGAAGGGAAGCGAAAAATAGGAAGTCCAAAGAACACATTACGTCTGAAAATAGAAGCCGATATGAAAATGATGAATAACGACTGGAAGGAGCTGGGAAGGATTGCTCAGGACAGGGTTGGATGGAGAATGCTGGTGGACGGCCTATGCTCATTCACCAGGAGTAACAGGCGTAAGTAAGTAACGGATTTAATAAAATTTGATATATGAATAGGAATCAAGTTTTCAACCTAAATAATATTACACCTATGTGCTATTGGATGTGATCTAGACTAGTTTCGGATTAGAAAAACATATAACTTTCTGTCTTCAAGTGGTGAGTTAGTGGTTTTATAACACTTAGCCTTTAACTGTTAGATCGATCGACTATGTAGAATTATTAACTCAAACAGTTAAAAGTGTAGCTAGAAGCCGAGTATATTAACGTACGGGTAAATTACAAATGAGTTACATTCATAATAGACAGTCATCTGAAATAATAAGTGCTCTAAGCTTTGAAAAATCCAGGTCACTTGTTTATTGGAAATAAAATGGGTCTCAATCTATAAGATGTTTGGAAGGGGTCATATTTGAGTATGATTAAAACATTGAACTAAAGATAATACTACAGTACTCTTTTCTACCCACTTTGTTGTTTTATATTATTTTGTTTTCAAAAAGAACAAAAGCTTGCTAAACGAGTTTCACCATTCTCTGTTGTCATTTATTCAAATGAATAGTTTGTTAATCTAATGACATTATTTCCACGCCTTCTTTGTTTAATTATGTACAATAAATTACACAGTTTACAGACTTTGTAGTTGAAATTTAGTAGAAGCTTTTGGTGGTGTTGTATTCTTTGAGATAATTTAAATGTTCATTTTTCATTATGTTTCTGTGGCTGATGAAACTGTCCAGTACGATAGTGAAAGCCCTTAAACCAATGCATTTAGCTCAATGAACACATCACCTGTGCTGTAAATCATCGTTATTAATGATAAGTGAAATGAACCATCTATATATCTCATGTGTGTGAAAAGATTGATATCACACATGACATTTTGTAGAATTTAATCACTCCTTCATGGTTGCTATTTTTTGTCAAACTTGAAAAAAACTAGTACATATATTTATAAAACTTACCAACAGTACACCATTTATCGATTGACCTTTACTAATTGGGTTTATCATGCCGTGCGATTTTTGTTTTTTATTTCAGTACACTGAATACTTGTCCAGATGAAGCTTCGAAATTTGTTCATCTACTTACACGTGGACGAGCTACCTTTTTAGTACAATCTGATTTTAATACACTCATACAAGTAAGAGTGAACGATAGATGTGTTCTTTTTTGTCTTTCGGAGTTAGGGGTACTCACTTTTTAATATCATCTACTGTAAGATTTTTTTGGAAAAGAACCTTATTTAGGACTGTTCTGTCATAGTAGTTTTGACAAAGAGAAGAAGAGTATGAGTTTTTGATTCATAATTCAGTTTTTCATTGTTATGACTATTGTAAACATACACATATACACTGTAGGAGTTGACTATATATATAATTCTAATGTACAGATAAAGAGGGTATATTTACAATGGTTGGGGATGATTGACAACATGCCTTTGACCTAGGTTGTGTTCCAATTGGCACTTGTCATAAAGTGTACTCGAAGTTTTGAAGGTACTAGTGCATCACTCAGCTCCACAGTCTGAGACGTCACTACTGACCTGTTCGGAGTGCGATCCGAAGACAACAGGTGGAATGTACTGATGAGTCCCAACTAGAACAAAGTCTAAATCTAGGTTTTCTTGCTAATTGCCTTTATAATCACTTTGTATCAAAACATAGTGCATACAATATTAAGCCATTTAGACTGGTGGCCACATTACTACTTGGTAGATAAGATTCAACCAGCACCAATAATTAGACAAGTATGACAACCGATCACTATTCAGTGGTCAATCCGTATGCAAAGGTGTGTAGTGTTGGACTTATTTTACTTGTGGAAAGATTGGAGATTGAAATTCGTTATAAGATTACATTGTAACTTAATAGTAACTAGTTGCGAGATCACAGTAATTTCAAGGTTTTCAGTATTAGCATTGAAGAAGTCATGGTGCTCACTAATAATAAACAAAAGTTATTTATCGTGATATTGTGATGTGTATTGTTTTTTGCACCCATTGAGTTGTCTTGCACATCTGAATCGGAACAATCTGGATTATTGGGTATGCATAATCCATACGTTATTGTGTTAATCTATGGATATCCAGTGTATGTTCAATTTTTCTGATTTTTATTAAAATTACATCCCAGAAAAATTCATTAGATTGTTTCAAAAATGAAGTTTAGTCCATTTTCTTGGATAAAGTGTTGCAGAAGATCTAGCGGGAAGTATATTTAACGGTTATTATCATGAATTTCTCTCAGCGATATAAAGGCATTTACTTTTAACGTATACTTAACGCTGTGATACTCCAATGTTAGGATATTTATCAAATTTTCAGTGTTATTATAGTGTAGGACAATGCATTACTTCCTCAAATTCATAAGAACGTATATTTAAATCTGAGTCAGATTATAACTTGCTGGTTTGAGTTAACGAACATGGAAATAAAGTAAATGATGAAATTTGAACTTATCCTCGGTGCACATAACCTTATTTTCCATAGCTTTGTCGATTATTTAATTTTCCTTTTTTCATTCAGGACATTTTAGAGAGTCATCCTGGCTTAGCGTTTTTAGAAGCAGCGAAAGATTTTCATTCCCGTTATGTGGCAACCGTTGTAGCACGTATCTTCTTCAATGTGAATATTTCATGGTCTGGTCGTATTTCTTTAGGTGAATTAAGACGAAGTAATTTTCTTCCTGTGTTAGCCAGTCTTGAAAATGAAGATGATATTAATTTGGTGACACAGTATTTTTCTTATGAACATTTCTATGTTATTTATTGTAAATTCTGGGAGCTAGACGAAGATCATGATTTGATCATCAGTCGAAGTGATTTAGCACGACACAATAATTATGGTAAGTTTACACCACATTGTTTGTTACGTATTATATTTTTTCTTTATTAATTTTTTTGGTTTTAACCTTAATTTAGCTGCTGAGTATCGTTTGAATAGGTAGCTTGGTGAAGCAAATAAAGTATGATTCATTTTTATTCTTTAACATTTTTGTGTGTGAGTTAAGATATTGCCGGGTCTCCCAAATCAAACCAAGTGGTTTTCTAATGAAATCTCTGTTGAAGATTTTTACCTTATGATCTAATCTACAAGGCAATAGAAGAACGTCGGGAACTGTGAGTCATATGATGTCACTCATTCATTAAATACTATGAATAGCCTTCACGCTTAAACTGTATGATTTAAATTCAACTGTACCATATATATAATGGTAATTTATCAATTAACCTGTGTATTTTTATTGGTCTTTTGCTGTTCCACTAATAACAATCTTCTATTAAAGCGTAGTAATGTTCATGGATATCTCTCTCTACTAGTGTTATACTTTTAATTTCAACTCGTGTTTAATTTTCCATAATTTGTTTAGATATTTTTCGGTGATAATAATTTGGTATGTGTTTATCGTTTTTCTTTATAAAAATATCAATAACTTAAATTATAATGGTCTGATTTTCAATTCACTCGATTTACTTATGGTGACTAAGTCATGATAGATTAATTAATTCACCCGGTAATTGATTATGAGCCACCACACTTCATGTATGACACTATCATGTTGACTAAACCGAAGTAGCTGCGTTGCCGTTCGAACTTAGGACTTAGCGGCTGAAAATTGAACACCAAAACCCACTAAACCACGGTTCTGCTAGCTTGTATACCTCCGAAAGAATATGATTCCCAGCTGAAAGTCAAGTAACATCAATCCTAATCAATATTATATGTGTTACCTATTTTTCAATGAATCTTTTGAATCCCATTTGGCTCTAGACATCCGAATACTGATCAAGTTGTTGAAATAAGATCTAAATGCATAGAAATGTTTGTATATCTGGTTTGTTTTCTTTCTTTTTTACATAAACGACTATTTTATTTGGATAAGTTTCCACTTTGTTTATTTCCATGTTTAGTCATTTACTTGTTACCTTTCAATGCATTTACATATACATATTTTTACAGCTATCTCAGAACGTATGATAGACCGAATATTTAGTGGAGCTGTAACAAGGTGAGATATTTTGAAAGGGAAAATAAATTATTACGAATACGTTTATTATTATTATTATTCTATGTAAGTAGTAGTAGCTTGCATTTGTCAATTCCTCTACCTATTCTTGTCATATTCTGATGAGCAGGAGCAATGTGATCAAAACCGAGTGGGGAGGGGGGGTACATACTAAAACACAATACAATAGCCTAATATCTGTGTTCCCTACCCCTATACACATATGTTTTTTTTTACTCATAGTTTATTTCTTTCTTCCTCTGTTGAAAAATTCCACTTTCTAGTCATTATTCAGTATAATTATTACATGAAAGAATTTTCATTTTCTAAATTTAGCAATAAGATATATATATGTTCTCTTTTTTGCTATTGTTTTCCCATTGCATATCCGATTGGGATTACATGACTTTGTATCAATAATTGGTATGAATCGAAGTAAACTTCAGATATGAATTGCAAATTTTCTTTTTCACTTCTAGGATTATTTCAATTTAGTAGACGAAATTGATTCAGAGAATATCTGTCTTTTTTGTACTTTGGTTATATCTGTTTATCTGTGTGTACGTATTGGTGGAAGTAAGTAAAGATAGATAGTTATCGAGATACCAATGTAAATTTTTTCTAAAGGAAAATGGGTTTTTAGAATTCGCGTTTTCTAATGGAGTTAATTTGCAGTGGTATCATGTCAATCACTTAGTGCTATGATGATTGGAGTATGCCGATCACGGTGTTTCACTAGACTTTTATGGATTATTTTATTAAAAAACCGTTTGTGACCAAATGTTTATCATTTAGATAGCTGGTGTTCACATTTTTTCGATTTGACGAGTTTTTCATCATGAACTGGGAAATTATCAAAAACTAAGGAACGGACTGAACGGCTATTTTTATTCGAATTCTATTAGTTGACTCGGTGTGTCCGTGACTATTCCATGTATGGTTGTATCCATGAGTCGATTAAAGCTAGACCACCATGGAAAACCTGGAGGCACTGGATGACCGTTTCGTTTTACTATGGGACTCCTCACTAGTGCACATCCACGATCGTCATATGCTCACTAGTGACTGGCTTCAAGGGGTTTTTCCTGGAGTTATAGTGAGAAGTCGTGACCATCGGAGCTTAACCGTGTCCATTGTGAGGCAGTTACTCACTGAAGACAAAGGTGAACGGTGGCGCAATATCCTGGATTGGTTGAAGTTAGACAATAACACTGGTGAATATTGGATCAGTGGTCTAGAGGTGAAGCGTTCTCGCGCGAGACAGAAGGACCTGGGTTCAAGTCTCTCTTGTGGGATCATGGATGCACACTTCTGACGAGTCCCATATTAGGACGAAACGACCGTCTAGTGCTTCCAGGTTATCAGTGGTGATGTAGCTTGAATCGACTCATGAATTCAACTATTAAATTGTTACAATCTCCACAAACATCCATTCTGATAATATTCCATGTATAATCAAACTAATGAACTTCAAGTATTGGATGTATTCAAACTGTCACATTTGAAAAAGCAACACGAAAGTAGTAAATCTTGAGAGATTTCAAAGTCGATACAAGAATCCCAACCACTGATTTCTGTTACCTATTGAGTACTTTTCTCAAGAAGTGTACATCTCATTAAATGATTCGAACTGAAAGTCGTTAATGTCATTAAACTTAATCCTGCTATAATGTTTCAATTTATTTTCTAATAAAATACTGAAATGATCTTAGTCATAAAATTGACCCAATAATGTTCAAATATATTGAACCTTTTTTCTTAACTTTACTAGCACAGCTTCAGTTAGTCATAGATATCCATTTTATCATACACACAGGATTATTCATTGAGTAAATTCATTTACTGATATGACCATAGACTGATGTAAAGTCGAACTAATGAATCGATTTATTCTTTTTCGTTTATTATAATCATCATTATGGTAAAATTCATTTATTGATAGTCATAAATATGTAACGTATTTCTATAACTAGTGAAAATTGTACAATTATTTTCCTTTAATACGTCTACCTTCTTGTATGAAAGTATTTGTACGTGTTTTGCGCCCTCTCTCTCTCTCTCTCTCTCTCTATATATATATATATATATATATATATATATATATATATATATATATATATATATATATATAGTCTGTTTTTTGTTATTTTGATTGGAAAACTAGTGATTATTGGCCCTTCCCTTTTTTAATGTCATTTGGCTTGTTGTAATTTCATCTTTTCTCACTGATGGTTCCAACATACTATTTCTTGACTTAACAGTTAGTCACAAATACTTTAATCTAATTTTTTAAGCATTCCATATGTATTAGTGTCTTCTAATGACAATTAATGGAATTAAACCAATAAGGATGGTTTAACAGACATTATTGTAATATCTGTGGATTGTTTTCTGCATCAATACTTCTTTCAGTTCATCACTTGTACCGTGTTGTGCACAGTAAAACAAAAATGCATATAATATACAAAAGTGATAAAAGTACTTGATTTGTTGTTTGAATTGCTACGGATATGCGTAATAGTTGTCCTTACTGAAAATCAATGCAATTTACAATAGAACAAAATCTACAAGAAGACAAATGAAAATCACAATACCTGTGAAGATAATCAATCTCAAACAAGATCAATAAAAGGAATTAATTTGATACTTTTGAAATAATTAAGAAACCTGACTTTATATGAAGTAGACGTTGGGGATGTCGTCCGAAACGACAATGAATGCTCCACAGTTAAACCATCTAAATTAAGGCCCCCAAATGCCCTGATACGGGCAACAGTTGGGGGAGTCAGCTCTCTCTCTCGAAATGTTCTCACCTGACCACGTGCATACAACCACTACCATAGAAGTCCTACTCGCTACCTTCTCGCAGTGGGGCTGTTGTTTACGAAATCGAGAGGACAAAAAGCGAATGCTCGGCGCTCTAACCGGATTGGTAGATACGGATCTACCTATTGGAGTTGGAAAAACCTGATTCCAAACCAGTGGTGCACATAGGCTCAAGAATCCTGAGGGAACAATTGGCGTATTAACCAATCGTTGGTCACCGGCTACCATGAGAATACATCTGACGTTGTTCCAATGGCTTGTGGATCAGACCTTCAGGTCGAATGGCCCGGGTGTAACCCCTTAAGAAAACCACTTGGCCAGTATCTCAGCCCTCACACAAATTGAATGATTTATGCGTCGCATATCTATTTGCTGCCTTCTTGTACCAATATTTATGTGTTTAAACAATGATAAAACTCAATAACACCAAATTTATCCATTTAAGCTTCAAATATTATACATTATCTCAGAATAAAATGTTTCAATAATAGCCCATGGAATCTCAAAATAAACTCACTTATTTAATCCCATGATTTGTAAGTTTTTTATTATGTCTTAAATATATATGTCTTTAGATGCATTTTCCCATAAATCCTCCCACACCAATATTTCAGTCATTTAAGATATTTAAAGGGTAGAAGAACTCTGATAGCCGATAAGACATTGACCGAAATTCGATTCACATTACATGGTTTAGTTATTAAGAGCTTCAATGCAGTAAACAACAAGCTACTGTTCCATTTATTCAACTGATATTTTACCATTATCAAAGTATGTATGTGCTTTTCATTTATTAAAGCAATATATGTATTATTTTTCTCAATATGATTTATAATACTAAAATTTAATTGTATTTTCAACAAGATTTTTCTCTATACGATCGTATTCTTTTTTTCAGAGGAACAGCTTTTAAAGAAGGTGTTATGACTTATCCAGATTTTGTTTGGTTTCTATTGGCTGAAGAAGATAAACATCATCCTCGGAGGTAATCACTTATATTATGCCTAACTATACATCAAGTATTTCTCCAGTTCATGTTTTATAAAACAAATTGATTGCTTTCTTAATATTATAGATAAATTATTATTATTATTATAAGTAAATAAATAACTTCTACAGTCTTCCATTTTTCAAGTCCAAATGAAGGCAGTGAATCTGGAAGAAATTTATTTTCATAATTATCCCATAAAGAGGAAAAAAACGTATCAGTAGGATTTCGGGCTTGGAAACTTATATATATATGAAGGAGTTTTCAAGATCTCTGGTTTGAATTTGTTGCACCTTCTAAAAAATATTTAGTGCTATGATAGTGGGATGTCTCAGAACATTTATCTTTGTACTTTTTTAGAAGTGCTGTGTTCTTTGAGCTGATTGGTTTAGTTATGAAGGTTTATTTGTCTTTCTAGACAATGTCATCCGAACATATTTCAAAAAAAGGTAACTATTAGAATTTCCTCGTAATTGGCTAACAAAAAATACCTTGTTCTGTTAACATTTCGCATATCTTTTTTTTAGTATTGAATATTGGTTTCGATGTATGGATCTAGACGGTGATGGTCTGTTGTCAATGTATGAATTAGAATATTTCTACTCGGAACAATTAGCTCGAATGGAAGAAATGGGGATTGAACCTATATCATTTGAAGATTGTTTATGTCAATGTTTGGATATGGTGAAACCAGCACTTACAGATAAAATTCGACTATCAGATATGAAACAATGTCGTCTATGTCATATATTTTTTGATACATTCTTTAATTTACCAAAATATTTACAACATGAACAACGTGATCCATTTGCTAATTTACGTGTAAGTTTTACTAAAATCTTATGTAATTAGTTTTTCAAATGATTGTTCCTGAAATTCCATTATTGTAAAACAATGAGTTTAATTCAGATGACACAAATGTTTAGTTAGTTAGTCAGCCAGCTACAACATAGGATCAGGCACATATATGCATCAGTCCAAGTTGCCATACCTCATTAGCACAACAAGATGAACACCAAATTCATAGAAGCAGTTACTTCAATGGTACCAATACATAAAAAAGATTGCATATAAGGATATAATACAGGAAGAGAAAATTAGTTAGTAGAAAGAAAAGTATAAGTCAATTGTAGTGTTGATCTATTGTTTAGTTATTATCAGTAGTTCAACACCTTAGGCAGCATAGTTCGAAACCGTTTATTATTTTTTTTATTAAGTTATGGATGTGTCAATTATTTTCAAACGATATCCTATGTGTTTGGTTTTGTTCACTACCACTGATTTTGTGGTTTCGTAATTGTTTACTTTTTATCCTAGCATTTTTTTCTCAATATGCTATTGATGATGTAAAGTGTGACAAGTGTGATCGATCCACTCTCGTCGTGCCACGTTCAATGTCACCATTGATTGTTAGGTTTATCACTGCGTTGCGTCATTTTAGTCTAAGACTAAGAATTTTGTAATCATCTAATTTTAATTTACAAGATTTTTATATAGCTTCTACTATTAGACTGATTTGAAGTAGGTTAAATCATTCCTTCGAATGATATCTGTGTTATTCAAGATGTTTAGCGTTATATTACTTAATCATAGATTCGAACTCCTCTCCTCTTCAGTTTAGTTTTAACGAACGTATAGTATCACTAATACTCGTATTAGAGTATGACTCGAAGCCAATCAAACAAATCTCTGTACATTGTAAATAAATTGATTTTGTGAAATCAAGAATCATAGTTTTATAATCTGAATCCAAAATAAAACTCTAATATATAATCCATTTCTAGAAGATGAACAATAACAAGGACAAACTTTCTAATATTTATGTCACTTCAATAGTTTTTTTCAATTAGTGGTTTAAATCAGTTAACTAGGACATCATAGTAGTAGTAGTTGTAGTATATCATTAGTGATGATTATACTTTCATAAAATATAAGCCAGAATATATTTTTATTTTCAGATGTTCACGAAAATAAATGAGAAACAAGTTAGTCTGACTTTTCCACTATGCTATAATCCATAACAGTTATATATATGATAGAATTATTACAACATTTTGTTGTGATGAAAGAAACAATTATTAATTATTTTTTTCTTTAAGAATGATGCATAAATGTTAATATTTACTGATTTTAACTAAAAAGATGGATTTTTTAAAAAAATCATAACAGGATATTGAAGAAGGACTCAATGAACTATCTGACTGGGATCGTTATGCAGCTGAAACCTATGAAATGTTAGTCAATGTTGAAGGTGGTGGTAATCCAGATGATGGAGTTGATGATGATGAAGACGATGACGAGGAGGAGGATGAAGAAGAGGAACAAGGTGGAGCTGTAGGTGATGAAGGAACTGGGAGTAATCAACAACAGAAAAACAACGATAGTAACAATGTAACTTCTCCCACTTCAACTGTTATTTCATTAGTAAATAAAAATGATAAAATCAATCGAAAAGATAATGTTGGATCATGTGGATTGGCTAATAAACTTGAGTCTATCGGTAATAGTGAATTGATCAAATTGGAATCAACTGTTGGAGCTGGGGAGTGAGTGAGTGAGTCTTACGTTGAATATTTGGGTTAATCAGAATTTGTTTGCCTGTTATTATTTTTTGCTTAATAAAATAGTTACTTAGATAGAAAAACAATTATTCACGACGGTTGTTTTGAGATTCATCAACTTGATTACATCTTTATGTGAGATTTGAAATATTTTTGAGTTCATCGATCCTTAGACATTTCTTTTTTGATCCATGTAACTGTTTCAACATTCTGATAAGTCTAACTGAACGCTAAAATCGGTTTCCTTAGTTTTTGTAATAACCCCAGGCTAAATCTAGATGGCAACCTGAACATGGGAGAAAAAGCACAAAGCGTGAAGAGAACGCTTTACTCCAAGGTTAGTTAATATACAGAAAATTAGGCGTGTTTATAGTGTTTCAGATAGCCTTGGGCTTCTGGAGACATGCTAAGCATAGTAGCAGGATAGGTAGTCATACAATCAGAAATGCGATACGTTTCTCTGCATTCTGGATTTTTCCGAGACACTTTTATTCAACGCTGATTGGATAAAATGCTTCCCAGCGTCTTTACGACCCCTCTGGACTTTTTCGAAGAATATTTTGCTTTACTAACGTAATAAATTAAAGCAGAGAATCGTGATTTTGATTTTATGTTGTTTTTCAGGACAATTCACTCTATTCTGTGATTTGTATTTGTTGAGTTTCATAAGGAAAAGGTATTTATAATCCATTTATGATGTTTCTTTCAGTGATGAGGTACAGATTCTAAACTATTTTTCTCCTGATAGTTGTCATGTTAGTTCACATAAATTTTGTCCTTAAACTAGTTTATTATTTTTTTCAAAAATGTTAAATGTTTAAACTTTTCCTATTCCTCAGGTCGTCTACACTTATGAGTTAAAGTTGGGGAATTGGAATTGATAAAAAACAAACCAGCATTTCTATGGGAAGTTGGGATATATCACCACATCAATTGAATTTCTACCCGATCTTATCAGTCAGCAAATAAATTTTTAATAACCGAGTGACCAGTAAATATTTGTGTACAATTGAGGGGGGGGGATGTTCCATTTAAGTTTTTCTCATTTTGTACAAAAAAGCATATACATTCACTTTTTCCATCGTTTAATATGTTCTCGACATTCAGCTCTTAATTGTTTTTTTTATTGACCATCATTTTCGGTTGGCTTCATAGCATGCTCAATTTCTTTAAGATATTTTAGTCTCTACAATCCTATATATCTTATTGTAGTTTTTTTCTATGTGTCTGTGATAACACTTTCATTTTGAAGGAGAATTTAATCTCTTCAACGTTGATTTAAGATTGCCAACAAATTCTTTCACTTCTGTTAATTTAAAACTTTTTACATTCGATGTTAGTGATCAGATTGTCGTCTTCGATTCTCTATCGTTTTCTGTTCCCTAAGATTTTGAATATGTGTATACTTTTAATCTTGGTGATTGTATGTATTAACGATTGAGAAATTCAAACTAGGAGTGACGAGAATGTTGTATCACGTTTATATGTGACACTGATTCTATAACAACAACAGCGACTGGAAATTAACAGAGTTTATCATGTTCATTGTTGTTTTGTATTTAAAACATATGTATTCACCATAATCATCTACCTGCAGATTTCATGATATCATTAACATCGTGAATAGTGTTACTACCTAAGATGGACAATTGTGGATAAAAATGACAATCGTATTCGGTTCCGCGTGTACAATATACAAATAAACGCACATATACCAATATGTTGTAGTATAAGGATACTAAACATTCAACTTCTCTTTACATTACTTTCTTCAACTGTGTTCACAATACTTACAATTTCGTCATCGTTATTGTCTGAATAATTTTGATCTCTCTATTCGAATTAACTAATTGCTATTCGTAAAAAACTGAAGTTTAGCCAAAAATCAGAATCGTTTGAAACATAAATGTTTGTGCCTTGAATAGACATTGTCTTCCTGATTTTCTTTTCTCTCCAAAAGTGAATTCAAGTATTCCTTTACTTTCTTGGCTCGTTATTTGTCTACTCATCGCAAAGCAGACACGTACATCGTAAATAAATCTGAGAAGTTACCTTTTTTGTATTTTGAAGTGTATAAACTGTTATTATTCGTATTTACTATTATTATCATAAGCCCATGACCCAATTTTCCTATCAGACTTCTTCACAAAATTATTAAATTAATTTTTCAGTGCTTTCATCTTTGAGAAAGTAAATATACTGAAACGTTTGTTTACTTATTTGTTTGTTTTTCCGCACTGGTTGGTTACACACTTATTATTCATACGGATTGTTATAAATAATACAGTAGCGATGAAGTTTGGTTATATAATAGTCAATAATAGACAAAAGGGGAGAGGATACGTGGAATTTCCAGCGATTCCAAATAATTTTTCAGTGAAGTCACACGAAATCAGCGTAAAAACGTTGACTGATCGATTTCTATGGAAATATCTAGGAAAATAACACCTTACTTTTCTTAAACCTGATTTCACGATTATCAGATTTTACTATTAACTTCGATGTCTTTCCTCGAATTTTCCCTGATCTTGAAATCACCCTATTGTACCCGATAATGAAATCATAAAGCTGAAATTGCTACAAAAACATGCCCTCGACTAATTCTGGGCAAGAAAGTCAAGATGGTGGAGTCCAGCATAGTTGCCCTCAAATGACCTGGTACGACCGAGGGTGGGGGGTCAGTTCTCTCTCTCGAAATGTTCTCACATGACCACGTGCATACACCCACTGCTAGTAAAATAAACAAAAAATAAAAGGAATAGGAAATCTTCCATATAAATTCCCCGATATCAGTTGAAGTAGAATGTTTGCAACTGTAAAAAAGCGACACAACAGAAATGATCACATTTTAGATCTAAAAGAAAAATTCACGGGAATATAAATTCCCTAATGAATATTTCGTTAAAACACAAAATAGATGACCTAAACAGCTTAATCAAAAACGTCACATTGAACACGAATGGGACGTTGAGCCAACAGTAACTCCAGAAACATGTAAAATTATATAATAATCTGCATAAATACTCGTACAAAAGATGCAAAAAGACATTACCTGCTTTAAGAAGCCATAATCAATCATGTGGCCTACAGCGTCCAGGCTGAAAGGAAACCCAAAGGCACAAAGAGCGAAAATGGGTATTGCGCCCCGTTAGTTATGTCGTGTTTCAATGTCTTTACAGGACAGACAATCGGACGTGGATGGAAGGGGCTGAAGATTACCGATTTACGAGTAAACAGCCGAGTGCTTTGCCCCTCATGCAACCACTTCATAACATATCGTGTAAAGTGTATTTAGTACATGCCAGTGAGTAATTTCTTAATAGTATTACCAACACAAATCAATAATATGACTCAAAGCCAAGTGCATAAACCGGTAATGCTTAGAAACCGAATTTCGAAACATATTACACAAGAGGTGCATACCTATGCTGATAATATGGACCAGACGATAGATAAGTAGTCATCCCATCACTGAAACAAAAGGAGTAAAACTCAATATTCTCCTACGATTCCAGAGAAAGGTATAGTTATTTACCGAAGAAATGGTTGTAATTGGCTTTAAAAGGGATTTAGTTAGCTAAGTATTGAATACATTTTCCAATTGAAAATATTTAATAAGATTAAAAAAACTTGTTCATAGTCGAATGGAAATTTATTTGTGAGTACATAGATGACGAAATTACCACACTGACATGATTAATTTTTAATATTGTAATGTGACAATGCAAGATCCCGAAGTACAAGGGGAACATCAATCTAATCACACTTGATGGAGAAACTCTGGAAGAGGTACGAACTTTCTCGTACCTGGTCATCATAATCGATGAACATAGGAGAGACAAGGATTGGCAAAATAAGGGCAGCATTCCTACAGTTGAAGAACATATGAAACCAAAAACAACTGTCAAACAATATCAAAATCAGAATCTTCAGTACGAACGTCTAAACAGTTTTACTGTATGGAGCTGAAACTCTGAAAACTACCACAACCATCAAAAAATGTACAACTATTTATAAACAGATGTCTACCCAAGACACTCAATATCCGATTGCCAGATACCATCACTAACAGCCTACTGTGGGAGAGAAATCAGCTTCCAGCTCAGGAGGAAACTGGGAGAGACGTTAGAAGTGGATAGGATATATATTGTGGAAATCACACAACTGCATCACGAAACAAGCGCTAACCTGGGATGCTGAAGGGAAACGGAAGAGAAATGCCAAGGAACATATTGTGTCGGGGATTCGAAGAAATCAAAAGAATGAATAGCATCTGGAAAGGATTGTCCAGGACAGAGTTGGTTGAAGACTGCTGGTGGGCGGTCTGTGCTCATCCATGAGGGGTAACAGGCGTAAGTAAGTAATGTGACAATTAAGTTTCTCGGACTTATGTAATTATCAATAACTCATTAAGTTCACTTGACTAATACTAAATTTCATATTATAGTAACCATTATATCAAATTATTGATAGCAAAAAAGCCAAGTTGTTAACATTATTTTAATTGATAAGAATGTCAAAACATCACAAATAAAAAAGGTGGAACCAAAATAAAGAATTAAATATTATTTGTACATGCTGAGGTCTACAGATAACTCAGGTTTTTGCTGTAAATAAATGTTAGTTCTTTTCTGCATTAACAACACTTTTCTGATTTATATTTTACACAACGACCTACGCTGTCAATAGATTGACTCTATTCAGTTCCAGTTTGCTAATTCCATTACGTCCCATGGCCATGTATTATTATTACTACATATATCCAGTTGTTTTACTTCCAAATTTGTCTTGCTGAATATCATGCTTCTCGTGAACTGGCCAACTCCTATTTTCTATCGTGTTGAGAATTATTGTTGAAGTATAGTGTACCAAGATATGGTGATCAAGGACTTAACTGGTCAAATTGTAAGTGATATACGAAACTAATTATTTTCAATCATCCTAAGAAGGTTTAATTATATAAATTAGTAAGTCGTTTGTATCTATCGCTTATAGAGGATTGAAATTATAATTTTGTCAATATGTGTTCACATGATTAATTAATGTCAACTACTATTCAGTTTAATGTGTACATATCTGACTGTCAATCAATGTAAATCCTATAAAAATTAATGTATTTACATATTCATTTTGATTTATTTTAAATGTCAAATAAATCATTATCTATTGTCTTCATGTTCTTAATGACGCTATTCAATTCATAGTTTACAGTAATAACTATCAATATACATCCAATCGATACAGGTCAGTCATCCAGGCTATGGAGTTCGCATTAGAAGAATTCCAATCATTCATTACTAGGAATTACTGTAGACCCCAATAAATTCAAAGTTTAATAGTATCGAGCGTGAGTAGAGCATAGTTACAATATTATTCAATATTTGAGTTACATACAGTTGGTTAAAAACAGTGGAAGTTGATTGTTGTAAGTCAACCATCTACATCTCTGAACTATATATATACTTCAAATTAAAGTAACAGAACAGTTTAGAAAACTAAATATCTGAAAAATATAAATGAATATATTTCTATATACATTGATGTAATTTATCAAGTAACCATATACATCGTGTTAGGATTTTATAATTTATCAGTAATTCAATAATTAAATCAAATAATCAGATCAACCATAAATTTCTTGCTTGAACTGCTTCAATACGTACATATCGATTGGGATCATCAACTAATTGATCTAACAATGGTAGAATATTTACATCACGATGACGATTAATCAATTGTTCCGGAAATAATTTTATAATGCTGCACAGACAACGAGCGATAATTAAACGTGAACAAGTTAAAATATTGATATTTCGTTCATTTTCCTGACCAAACATTACAGTATCCTTGAATAAATATTAAGTCAAGAGGAAAGCTTCAGTAAGTAGTGATAAATAAATGTATCAGAATAAGGTGAAGTGATTGAAAAGAACTTACAGTTAACTTTGATTGGTTAGAAACGAACACTAATCCTTGCTAAACTTCAGGTATTAATCTTGTTGATATGCGCCAATAAAATCATATCATATAGAATGCTCGAGAGATGTAAATACTTGTTTAGTATCACAAATAGTGTTATTATCAATGGGCAGTTAGTATAGTGTTTTACAGACTGACTGCTTCCAAGGATTTAGCGTTGAAACGAAATGTATTGGCGAAGACTAGTGATTACCTGGTATATTTGAAACAGTATCAATCAGAATTTTCCTGATGACAAGCACACGTTATTGGCCAGGAGATTGTTTCGTTTCCTAATATATATATATATATATATATATATATATATATATATATATATATATATATATATATATATATATGATTCCGTTTACACCAATAAATTAACTTTAGTCTTAGTCTTCTCACTAAGTAGGCAATAGGGTCTTGCATATAAGAAGTGTTGTGTATCGGTATACTGGACAAAGTTGATTGACAGAATTTATTCAATAAGGAGGGTTGGACAATGTGATATTTATTGCTGTCAAGTCATAAATTAGTATACTGGGGTAGTTGTCATCTTATGAACTAACATCTTTAAATCAAATAGAAATATTCACAAGAAAAGAAAAACAACACTCACAAATGTTCAAAATATTAACGATTTATAGCTTCTTCACTTGAAACCGTACAAATAACCTCAAAGTTATATGTTAAGTGGTTTTATTAATACGTACGCGATGGTTTGAAGGCATCAATGAGCGAATACTTACAGCGTACGTATATTACCAGTCTTTGAAGGCTTTGTTTTATAAATACGAAGTCATATAGAATGGACTTTCCCTCTGGTGGTTAGAAGGTAACTAAAATGGTCACACATACATACTATGTGATTGGACTATCACAAAAAAGCTAATTTTTCTAATGAAATCAAACTAGTCTCATTCAAACGACAGCTAAAAATGTCCTGTTGAAACTCGTCTCATCTGCAACAAGGTAATAAACGGATAAAGAAAATTAGTAAAGAAAGACAACTAGAACAAACCTGGTCACTATTGGAGAAATGGGTTAGTTTTGGCAATTTCTCCAATAGATCATCAGCTTGATTTTCTGAGATAATCTTGTGTAATTCAAGGTTTTTTGTCAAATTATCACTGAAGATTATTGATATAAACTTCAAACCAGCTAATTGACAGTGAACATTAGATGATGTGATGGCGAACAAAGCAGATGGTATTATCTAAGTGAGAATGTAAAAGAAGACATCGATATGACATTTTAGAAACTTATTGATTATATATATATGCACATTGAATCAGCAAGTAGTGGGAAACGTATCCTCCTTTTTGAGATAATAT